ACTTGCTTTGTAGACCACACTGGCCTTGAACTCACAGAGATCCGCCTGCCTCTGCCTCCCGAGTGCTGGGATTAAAGGTGTGTGCCACCACCGCCCGGCTTTGAGTTTTATGTAATCATATTTGCTAGTTTTTTCTTATTGTTTGGTTAGAAAGTTTTTTTTTAATTCATTTCTCCTAATATTTATGGCTTCAATATTTAATTTATATAATTAATTTGGAAATCATTTTATGTTTTAGTAAGTACTGAGTATATGATTTAATTTACTTAATAAATAAACAATATCTTATCATTCCTTTCAATTTTCTATTTACATATTTTAAAGTATTTTTGTCTAGTTTAAAAGATTTCTGCTCCTGTACATGAACTTTTTATCTTTTATTTTAGACTAAAGAGAAATTATCTTCTATTATAACTGACCTCAGCATAATAATGGAACCAACAGAATATTCAGAATTAAGTGAATTTGCATCTAGGTAAGCTGTTTCACAAATTTAATTGTTTTGTGGTTGATTTTTACTCTACAGGTTTTAAAGTTTTCTTTATAATTTTTTTGTTTTCTGTATATATATATATATATATATATATATATATATATATTTTTTTTTTTTTTTCTTTTTAAAAATTTTATGTGTATGAGTGTTTTGCCTGAATGTATGTTTGTATACTATGTATATGCAGTGCCTATGGAGGACATAAAAGGTCACTATATATGTATGCTGTTGACCTTTTGACTGGATCTTTTAATATATTAATCATAACTTTGGTTTTGAGACTAGATTTCCCTTTGTGGACATAGCTAGTTTCCAACTTTCACTTTTCTGTGTTGTTGTTGGTGGTGGTGGTGGTTTTTTACTCTTTGAGGGGGTCCACCACCCAGCTCCCAAATAAATACACATGGAGATGTATTCTTACTTATAAATGCCTGGCCTTAGCTTGCTTTAGTTTCTAGCCAGCTTTTCTTAACTTTCAATTATCCCCTCTACCTTTTGCCTCTGGGATTTTTTCCTTTTCTCTTACTTCTGTAAATCTTACTTTTATTCTTCCATGGCTTATAGTGTAGCTGGGTGACTGGGTGGCTGGGTGGCTGGGCCCTGAAGTCCTCCTTATCTGGCTCCTAGCTCTTTTCCTCCCAGATTTCTCCCCCTATATACTTTCTCTGTCTGCCAGCCCTGCCTCTCCTTTCTCCTGCCTTGTTATTGGCCAGTTCTTTATTAAACCATCAGGTGTTTTCCACAGGCACAGTAACACAGCTTCGCAGAGTTAAACAAATGCAACATAAACAAAAGTAACACCCCTTAAAATAATATTCTACTACACTTCTGCCTTGCCCTCTTTAGTAGCTAGGATTCCTTGCCAAACCTTAGAAATATTAGAGCTCCTATTTAACAAATATCAATCTCTTGATCATCTTTAAGTCCAGGTCTGCTGATAGGTTTTCCAAGTTCTTCTGCAACCAAGTTTTGCATAGACTTTGAATCTTTTCGAAAGCACTCAGATAAGATTTACATATTTCAAACAGAAGATAGCAGTCACAAAAGGCAGATCAAAATCCAGGTGCTAACACTCGAAATCAAACCAGCTGCAAAGCTCTGTGGGAACTCCCTCTACATAAGCTGTATTAGAAGTGTATTCATTTTCCTGATTGTTGACAGTGTGTCTTTACATGTTGCTGTCCATTTATTCTCTTTGAAGCTTCATTCCCTGTTTTTTTAATTATTTGATTTAGTTGTTTATTTTCTCACCATTCCTTTGAAAATTCTTTATATGTTCTGAGAACAGATACCTCTTTGTAATTGTATTTTCCCAGGTGTGTCTCCCATTTTGTACTTTGCCTTTTCATTTTCTTAACAGGTTTGCAAAACAGATTTTTAAAAATTTAATGAACAACTTTTGCTCTTGAATGAGTCATGCTATATGAGGCTGTTCCCCATAGATGATGAAAAAATGGACCAAAGCAAAACTAAAAACCAGCAGAGCAAACTCTAAAGTTTGTATCTCCATGTCTGATGTCCAAATACTCTTCAGAAATCCAACTCCTTTCAGCTTTGTTGACTACAACACAATTCTCTCTTGGGTTTGTTCCACTCTATGTTAGCAGCTTTCCTTGGCAGGTATTCCATGGCTCTGTCATCTCCAACATCTTGGGGTCTTCAAGGCAATCTAGGCTTCACCTTCACAGCTTTGGGCAATGGCCTCTCTGGGCCTCCATTCAGGGACACCCCAAACACATGCATGGCCTCTGTGGCTTTCCTTAGTCATGGAGGGAGATTCCATAAACCCTTTCTCCTGTCCTTGATTCTAAAGCCAGAACCACATGGTTGAAGCTGCCACATTCTTCTGCTTGCTGGGACTGGAACATGGCCCCCTCCTTCAGTTACATCTTCATCAGTTTTCTGTTCTTCACTCCTAAGCTTGGCTGTCCTGAAACTTGCTTTGTAGACCAGGTTGGCCTCAGACACAGAGATCTGCCAGCCTCTGCCTTCTGAACACTGGGATTAAGGTGTGCACTATCACACCTAAACTGTTCTTTAATTCCTTTTCACAAGCTGGAAGGTTAGCTGGGCGGGGTCTTTCCCTGAGGATACCACTCCCTTTATTCCATTTCTCAATCTGTTTATCTCCTTGAACACAGAATTGAGTTCCATTCCACTTCCTGATATCCCTTTTCTCCTCAGTCTGTACATTTTTTATTTTTTCTTGCTCAGCTTTCTCCTTTTCATTATAAATCTTATAAGAGTGAACACTATTAACCACATGACAGAGTCTATACTAAACAGTTTTCTGATTTCTTCAACCAACAGAATTAATCCAAATCTCTTTACTTATCTTCAGGCAGACTCTTTGGACAAAGGCAAAAAGCAGCCACTCTCTTCACCAAAAGATAACAAGACCAGTCTCTAGGCCACATACTAACATTTTTCTCCTCTGAAACCTTTTGATCCAGCCCCCCACACTTCAAATCACCCTCAGCACTACTGTATCCCATGTTTCTATTAGGATGGCCCATTAAGTCTCGCTTAAAGTGTTCAACTGCTTTTCCAATTCACAGTCCCAAAGTCTGTATTCCTCCAAACAAAAACATGCTCTCACCTATCAAAGCACTACCACATTCCTTGGTACCGAATTCTGTCTTAGTTTGGGTTTCTATTGCTGTGAAGAGACACCACAACCACCGCAACTCTTATAAAGGAAAACATTTAATTGGGGTTGGCTTACAGTTTCAGAGGTTTAGTTCATTATCTTCATGGTGAGAAGCATGGCAACATGCAGGCAGACAAGGTTCTGGAGAAGGAGCCGAGAGTCCTCCATCTTAATCCGCAGGCAGCAGAAGGAGACTCCTTGCCACACTGGGCGTAGCTTGAGCATATAAGACCTCAAAGCCTGTCTCCAAAATGGCACACTTCCTCCAAAAGGCCACACCTCCTAACAGTGCCACTCCCTATGGGCCAAGCATTCAAACACATGAGTCTTTGTGGGCCATACCTATTCAAACCACCACAACCATTGATGGCTTTTCTCCCTTAGTACACGTAGCACCTTTTGACTATGAAAGCAGTCATTCAGGGATGAAGTTTTCAGGTCAATACCAGCTTAAGTTCTTTATGTCCTGTGACCAAAGTGTGTGCTATCTTTAGCAACAGGGTCTTATCAAATTCTGGTGGGCACCCAAGGGCAGTGACAGTAGCCTGTATTGCTTTGGGCATTTCTGGCTCCTAAGTTAACCAACAACTTAAAGGGAAACATCTGACACCCGACACTGGGGTTTTTACTTAATAACCTGAGGGAGTAACCTGTTTTACTTAATAACATCAGGGAAGAGCATTATCCCCCCCTCCCTAAAAAAAAAAAAATACTGTCTTTGTTAGGGTTTCTATTACTATGATGAAATACCATGACCAAAAAGTTGGGTGAGGAAAGGGTTTATTTAGCTTACACTTTTAAATCACTGTTCATCATTGAAGGAAGTCAGAACAGGAACTCAAGCAAGATAGGATCCTGGGAGTAGGAGTTGATATGGAGGTCATGGATGGTGCTGCTTAATGGCTTGCTCCTCATGCCTTGCTCAGCCTGCTTTCTTATAAAAGCCAGGACCACCAGCCCAGGGATGGCACCACTCACAGTGGGCTCAGTCCTCCCCACATCAATCACTAATTAAGAAAATGCCGTACAGGCTTGCCTACAGCCTGATCTTATGGAGGCTTTTTGTTTGTTTGTTTGTTTTGTTTGTTTTTAAATTGGGGTTTAGCCCATGTCAAGCTGACATAAAACTATTCAGTGTACATACAACATGGAGTACAGACTGTTTATTATATATATATTTTAGTTTTTCAAGATGGAGTTTCTCTGTGTAGCCTTGGCCTTCCTGGAACTTGCTCTGTACACCACACTGGCTCAAACTCACAGAGATCTGCCTGACTCTGTCCCCCACATGCTGGTATTAAAGGCATGTGCCACCATTGCCCTGCTTGTTTATTATATTTTTAGTGAGTTTATAAAATAGCTTGTTATTCATTCTTGTTCTGTTGTATGAATATTTTATAGACAAGATATGGTGTTTTTTTAAGTATCTAATACATTTTCCCTGAGATATCTTTTAGACTTTGATGACCAAATGCATTGTGCTTATTTACTACTTGAAAAAATGTAAAATAGACATTCTTTGTATACTGTCGTTGAGTTGACCACCTTTATAACTATGTGTATTCATCATCATAACCAAGGTATTAAACTTTTAGGCATGGTGGTCCATGCCTGTCGCCCTGGCAATGGGATGCTAAAATAAGAGGATCACAAGTTCTGGGCTTGCCTAGTGTGGTAGTTTGAAAGAAAGTGGCCCCCAAAGGGAATGGCACTATTAGGTGTGTCCCTATTGGAGGAAGTGTGTCACTGTGGGGGTGGGCTTTGAAGTCTCTTTTGCTTAAGCTTCCCTCAGTATGACTGTGGGTTGACTTCCTGTTGCCTGCAAGAGGTAACACTCTCAGCTCCAGCACCATGTCTGCCTGCACACTGCCATGAACACCGCTCTGCTCCCTGTCTTGATGATAATGGACTGAATCTCTGAAACTTTAAGCAAGACCCCTCAATTAAATGTTTTCCTTCATAAGCATTGCCATGGTCATGGTGTCTCTTCAGAGCAATAAAAACCTAACTAAGACACCTATGCTATGTAATGAAACCCTATTTTAAAAAAAGAAAAAAAGAATTGTTCCAGCAACACATATTTACACAAACTCTTTGTACTATTACTCTGCAATTCTTAACTCCTGGCAAATCCAGAATTAACCTATTTACCCATCGAACCACATTTGTACTGTTTCAGAGTTTAGTAAATATACCATATTAGAATTATATACATATCATGTTGGTAAAATGTATAGTAGGGACTGGAGGGATGATTCAGCAGTTAAGAACACTTGCTATTCTTGCCAAGGATCCAGGTTTGATTTCCAGAACCCATGTGGTGGCTCACAAT